TGTAGGATATGCTTTCCTCCTAACAGCAATTGCTAGACAGAAATACTGACCTGCACTGTTTTCTGGTGAGGGAAAAGTTCATTCTCTCCTAACTCATCGGTTGGGCTCAGGAACATGTAAATCATTACATGATACAAATCTGCTTGAGAACCAGTGCACCACTTTATGATGATGAGGACCGAGAGATAGCCGAATAAGCTGTTCAAGAATATCATCTGGGGAACGAACTGGAACCTGCAAGCCCCCAAAATTAAAGGTCATGATGATGACTGATTTTCACTGTTCAAAAAATTGAAGAGAGTAATATGGTCAGAAAATATCAATTGAAGAACCTACCATATATTTACACTCGATTTGAAGAATATTGCATTGAAGTAGCTCATTATGATTCCAAGGTTCATTTGAGAAACTCCGAGGAGGATTGACATCTTCATCTTCAGTGAGTTCAGGAACGGTAGCTCGCTGCGGGTACCATGCCACACTGGATCTAGACCAAATGGGTAAGTGTCCCGGACCTTTATCAAACCAATTGTTGTAGCCTCGCTGAACATAGAGCACAAGAGAAAGAAAAAAAATCTCAGAACTGCAAAGTATTTGCCTGCTACTAATATGCTTTTGTATTTAAATATACATTTTTTTACAAACATATGCTTATGTATATATATAAATCCGAACTTAGAACTAATCTGCATACCTGCATGCGACATCACGGCAATCATAGGCAGAGGGAGCAAACAACGGGTATGGAATAGAGAAGAACTCGTTGTAGATTAAACCCGTGTATATTGAGAAGAGTGACATCATCATAATGACATAACGGCCACCAAAAGCCATTTCCATAATATCCCCAAGTTTCTGTGGTCAGAAAGCAACGATTGAAGAGTTAGCATCTAAAACGAAAACTTACAAGAACAAAACACCAACAATTAATCAAAAGCATGTTAGAATAGACTATAATATGCTCTTTAGAATTCTCAAGTGAGTCTCCTATGCTTTCATATTTGCATGCAACTCCAAAAGAAAACAGAACAGCTAAACTATCAGCAGGTTCTGCTGCTGAGACAGAATTCAATCWCGTGSTCACARTSAGAACAWAGKYMACATCAATTGGGGTATTACCTGGCTGGCAAGTTTCTTTTCTCTCACTATCAAGTACATAGTTGCAAGGAGCAAACATATTCCATGCCCCCAATCACCAAACATAACAGCGAAAAGGAAGGGGAAGGTGACGATTGTGAATACACCCGGATTGGCTTCCTGATACTTGGCCACACTGCAGAGTGGTGGTCATTGAAGATTGATCAGAGGAAACTAATGGCAAGACTAAATGCGGTCTACAACACATTTTCTTATAATACCAAGGCTAATTCCTATTTCCTAAACTGAGTCAGAATCTCCACAAAGGCACTTACCCATACGCATCAACAATTTCCTGGATTGCAGAAGTAAATTTGTTTGTGCGGAAATAAGTTGGTGGCAACTCTTTGGTCCTCAAAACCTGGAATATTGATCCAACTTGAGAATTGGAGTCAACTGCAGCACGCTTTAATGCATCTTGAATCTGCACAAACAAAACTTATTCTACTTTAAGTATTCTGAAATGATACATAAACATAATTGTAAAGTCACTATCACACAATATATTACTCAATACTGCAAATGACAATGCAACAAAAGAAACAACTCACTTCGTTTGATGCAAAAACAGGACTCCAGCCCTCAGCCACAAGACATTTCTTCGTCACATCAAGACTAAGCATGTTCAAAGTATGATAGATGGCTTTCTCTTTGCGCACCTGAAATTGGTAATTATAAGCTTGACTTCAGTATGCATGGATTAGAATAAATGAGTCAATACAGACCGCTCAACATTGATCCACATACGATAGTACCTTGAGGTTCCATAGCTCAAACTTATCTCCAATGGTATGCAACAACATGTCCCGGTGACCTAACCCAGCATCTATGGTGGTTTTAAGCTCTGTTAATCGACCTGAAACCTGAAATGATGTGGAAAAATCAAACATAGTTAGACAGTTTCTGGGTTTACATTATCATCATTACTAGCCTACGATACACAGTCACATGGATGTTACCCGACTTTAAATCTAAAGTACATCAAAACATCATGTTCTCATGAATTAGCTTTTGTTGCACATCTGAGTACCAACGAATACCCAAACTTTGTTATCATCTATGACTCGTGTCCAAAGAAATGGCGCAAAGAGAATATACAGGGAGGTAAATGATATATCACAACAAAAAAGAAATATGGAATATTAACACATCAGCAGGAACATTCACAAGAAAGATAGTACATACCTCGGTTATCATTTGAGCTTGTTTTCCAAGGTCCTCGCTGAAAGGATAGCGATTGGCCCCAAAAGCTTCACATATTTTAAGAATTTTGCTTTTTGCTCTTTCCCCGGAATAGAAGACAATAAAAACATTTTTCTCAGCCTGCAGTTTTTTTAATTTAAAAAGTCAATTTCGAACTGAGGCAGAGAAAATCAAATTTCTTTTCAAATATATTTCTCATCCTATGTAGATATATATTTCAAATATGTACCAGGAGCATATGAGAGTAGAAATT